TCGACGCCCGTATGTCCCTCTCACTGTCTGGCATCGAAGGTCGAGTAAGTTGCGTGAACTCTGAGCTCGAGGAAGACGGCATATGTGCGACTCCGGGTATGAGCAATCCTCTCTGCTTTATGTCTTCCGCCGCATGTTGTTTTCTCTCTGCCGCCGTATGCTACCCCCCTTGCGGCTCTCCCTTGGGGTGCCCAAGGGATCTCGCCGCTACATCGTGGTGATCACGTTGGGCTCTGGCAGGAGAGGAATCGGGGGTGCTAAAACCAGCGTTTCGCTCTGGGCATCCCGCAAGTGAAATCCCCCCCGATTGCTGTGCCCGCTATATCGTCGTACTCGCGATGCTCTCGGCAGGCAGGATCCGAATGTTCGAAACCAGCATCTCGCTCGAGGCATCCCCACACCATTGACGCCAATGGGCACGTGAAACACCCCCTGGCCGCTCCTCCCTGTGGGGCCCAAGTGCTAGGCTTGCTATCTCGCGGTGGTCATGAGGCCTTCGAGAGGCAGGAGTTGGAGGTACAAACCAAGCACCCACTTTAGACATCCCCTCAATATGGCGGCTCCTCCTTTGGGCGCCCAGATGCTATGCCTGACTCATCGCGGTGATCATTGGGCTATGTGAGGAGAGAAGTCGGAGGTACGAAACGAAGCGGATCGCTCGAGACGTCCCCACACATTGGCCGCGAACGGGCAGCGAACCTCCTCCCTGGCGGCTCCTCCGATGGGTGCTCAAGTGGTAAGATTGCTGCATCGCGGTGGTCATGGGGCCATACGATTTGTCTGCTTCATCGCGGCGATCATGGGGCTCCGAAAAGGAAGACGTCGGCGGCGCAACACGAGCGCCTTGCTCGAACGGGCAAGTTTCCCCCTGCCTGGTTGCTCCTCGTTGGGGTGGTCAAGTGCCACGCTTGCTACATCGCGGTGAGCCTGGGCGAGTCTGAGTGAATGTGAGGAACGAGTGCGAGTGGGCTTGAATCAGAGTGGCAGCGTGTGGGCAAGTTGTGAATAAGTTGAGTATGGATGTGTCTGGGTATGAGTGGTCTGAGCGCGTGGGTGTGAGTGTGAGTGAGTCTGAATGTGAGGTTCTGAGTATGAGTGAGTATGAGCATCGAAGACGCCTACGGCGAATCACTGCCGCCCACCTGCCTTTTGGAATCGCCCATGTGGCCGAGCGTTGTGGCAAGAGCTCTGCCAGGCTATCTGACCGTGTGTTCCCCAGCCGTTGTGGAAACTTTTCGGGAAACACTTGGGGGAGGATGGCGGGGAAGATCAGGAGCAGGAAGAGGAGGAGGAGGAGGGGGAAGAGGAGGAGGAGGAGGGGGCATCTTGGGAGCCTATGGGGACACTCTTGGGGCCTCCTGGAAGGTGCCTCTGCGAGGGTTTCCTTGGGCATCTTGGTGGCCTTTGGGGGCTTCTCGGGGGCCTCTTTGCCCGTCTTTAGGCGTTCCTGGCCAGTCTGACGCCGTCGGAAGCCGTCTTGGGGGCCTCTCTGGGCCGACTTGCGGCCCTTTTGGAGTGCTCCAGTGCCGTCTTGGGGGCCACCTTGGGAGTCGTGGAGGCCCTTGGGCCGTCTTGGGGCCCTCTTGGGGCCGTCTTGGGGACCTCTTGGGCCGTTCTAGGACCATCTTGGAGGCCTCTTGGGGGGTCTTGGGGCGTTTTTCGGAGGCTCTTGGGCCGTTTCGGGCCGTCGGAAGGCCGAAAATAATCAAATGATGAGATCCATCAACACCTCAGGAACATTATACCTCTTGGAGGCCTCTTGGGCTGTCTTGGAGCATCGTGGGGGCGTCTTGGAGCCATCTTGGGCCGTCTTGGCGGCCTCTTGGGCGGACTTGGAGGCATCTCGGACTCTCATGGTCGGAGGTGGATCGACCTCCTACCTTGACACGTCGATTAGTGAATTGGCCGTTTTCGGTTCGCGAGAGGGCGTCGCGGCCGTCATTTTTGCAGGTCCAGGTCCGTCGGTTTCGGTCCCAGGCCGTTTTCGCTAAGGGGAGGTTTACTAAAGGGAGGTTTGTGCACCGCCGATTTGGGCGGTCTTGGAGGCCATCTTGGATCATCTTGGGCGAATTGTGGAGTCATCTTGCACTCTTGGAGACCATCTTGAGCCGTGTTGGGGGATTTGTTCCGCCAAGTGACGTCGGCCACCAGGTTCACTGCCATTAGCCCAGCAACGCCTCGCAGCGCTACGCGGCCGTGGTTGCGCGCGATTCCACCTCTTGGGCAAGAGCAGCTGGTCGCACCGGCTCCACCGCGCGGCCGCCAGCAGCGCGGATCCCGCCGGGCCTGCCGCGGATCGATCGCAAATGTTCGCGCCTCCACTTGACACAGCATCTTCTCCTGGATGCGCTGTGCAGCATGAGGACAGGAGCGTCTTGACAGCCATCGGCACATGCCGGTGGGGTTGAGCATGTCTGAGCCTGCTTACAGTGGACTTGGCGACTAAGCTACGACAATCACCACAAGGGCGACCTGACCAAGTGCTCACCGCAGACCGTGTTCAACACGAACACCATCAGGAAGCCGTGCCCTACCAGAAGCTGGCCAGCCTCCCAGTCAACTGCAAGGGCCTCCTCACCCCTCAATAGATTGGCGCCACGTGGACAAAAGCATGAAAGTCTTCGTCGCGGAGCTTTGGCGGGCACAACGCGCCAAGCACTCGACAGGTGCTGCGAGCAAGTCGCTGGCTTCGACATGTCAGCGCCGCCTGCAGTACTTACGAGGCGCCGTCGCGGCAGCACGCCACCACAGAGGTCAGCGTTGCATGGCCGCCCACGCCTCCCAACAAATTAGGCGGCATGCATCGCGGTGGCCTGGCGCGTTGGCCACGCTGCGCTGCCGTTGCTGGGACAGCTACGAACAGCCGAGGCAGGCACCGGCGACACTGCGATGCTGATGGCTGCATCCAGAGCACGCGCCGCGCCGGCGCCGCTCGGCATTCACCGTACCAACGCACGGGAAGTCAACAGCCGTGACTTGTAAGCGCTAGCAACTAGAGACACAATGTGTCTCTAGTTGCTAGCGCTTGTGACATTGCCGCCAACAACTCGACGAACTGAGTTTGCGCGTACGAAGCAAAGCGCGCGGATGTTTTCCAGACGCGCAGCAACGCAACCGCCGCAACGGCCAGCTACGCCTGCCGGTATCTACTCACAAAAGGGTGCCGAAGGCTAGCGCCAAAGCCAGCAGCGTGCAGGATGCAGACGCGCCTGCTTGGCAGGCGCGACCAGCGCCGCGACGTGAGCGCACGCCGTGCACGGTCTGTTTCGGGCCCCCACGAGCTGTGCCCTGCTCCTGGCTGTAAGTCGACATCGGCTGGTCGATGCCGCATGTGGCTAAGGAGCCTGTCCATATGCTCTCCCTGTTGTGGGGTGCTGCTACGATCCACGACCCTGGTCATGGTCAGCTCATCCCATGTGCGCGCTGACCACGACGAGCGGACAGGGATCTGCAGGGTTCACGACATTCCGTTCGGACTGAGGCTCCTGAGCCGTGAGTGAGCTGTGCCGAGCGTCCCCTGCTGATGTACCGTGGTGAACGCTCTGGCACCTCATTGCGGGTGGTCCTCTGTGGCCTGAGTGGTACCCAGGGGCACTTTCCATTGTCCAGTAGCCCCGATTCGAATACGAGCATGCGTGCGCGCCCGTTGCCATTCTGGCTTACAGTGTGCACGCGACAAGCCATGTATTGAAGGGGGAAAAAACTTGCGCCTTGCTATCTCTCCCGTTATCATGTCCGCCGTGTCCCACCCATGACACCAGCAAGTAAAGTTCCTCCTTGTACTCCTCTTTTTCCTCCTCCTCCTCCTCCCCCGACACGCGCGGGAGTAATTCGGCAATCATTGTCACGGGCCGCTCATGGTGTCAGAATGCTGTCTTCCAGGCCTCTTTTCTTTGCGAGCTTGCGTATAGCAGGTCGGCTTCTGAGGCGTCCTTTGCTTGCCTGGCATAACTCTGGCTCGCAAACCGGTCACCAATAGCCGAAGCGTCGAGTGTAGCATTGATTCTTGAGTGTGCTGGGCATTCCGCGGGGGGTCCGGACTTCTAGCAGCCGCGGGTCGGCCCGAGCACGACGTCCGCTGTCACGGCGCGCACTCCCAAGCGCTGGTGGGAATCCGGCGTGGGACGCTTGGTGAGGAATACAAAGGGTTTCAAGAACAACCGTTGTCTCGCTCGTGCCGTACCTCGCCGACCTCACCCCGACGCCTTTTATACAATTTTCCGGCGCGTGGCGGCATCCGTGTTTCGGTGCCAGTTGTGGTAGCATGTTGCCCATTCCAAAGAATGAATCGGAATATGAGGGGGCCCAATCGTGAAAAAAGTAACCGAATGTGGGAAAGCACTGCTATGACTAAGCTGAGTACGATTGGACCTGAGTCTGACTATGCTGCGATGAGTGTGAAGGTGCGAGGGAGACGGTGTGTGAAAAGGAGGCGGGGGCGTCGCATCAGTAACAAGAACCACATCGTAGCGCATGAGGAGTAGCAAGGGTCCCATCTTCGGTTAGTGGGAATTATGACGTTGCTGGAGGTAGGGAAGCAGGGAAGGGGCGGGGCAGGAGGCAACGGCGAGGGGCTAGGAGGGATTTGGGCGATTTTGAGTGTTTTGGGTGGGCCTCTTTTCTTTGGGATTCCTGGACCGTCCGTAACAGGACTCAGGTTGAAAAGTTGGCCCTGGTGGAAGGGCTGGACTTCAGGAACCCCTTTTGCGGCAAATCAAAACATCGGATGTTTGCATGTCTTATCCCGAGCTGGTTTTGTTTACCCTTGTGCCTGGTAAGGGCATCCACAGATCACAAATCATCAAAAACCCCACGTTGTGACAATTTTCACGAGGGGGTTTTGACAGGCCTTGGGGCCTGGGTCCCCCTTTCGTGCAGCAGCTACGACGTCGGAGGTGCGGGTGTGGAGAGCGGGCGGACTTGCGACGCCGATGCGACCGCCGACCGCCGGTGATGCCTTGCCCTCCGTGTGGTCGCCTTACCCTTCGCGCGTTCCGGAGGTCACGAAGAAGGACAAGAAGCAAAAGTCGAAGGACAGATGATCGGGGGACGCCAGTCATACGCCTGCGGCAGGTTCGCGCCATCTCGGCGCGGCGGCGACGCCAGCGCGGGCGATCCAGGTTGAGCACCCTCCCTGGGCAAACAGAAACCGGTGCCAAAGATGGAGTCGAGAGCCTCCGGGGACCTCCAGGAGCGGAGATCTTTCGAAGTCGAACGGCTCGCGCGGTGCCAGACACCAGAGTCACCAGACCCGACTCCATCACGGCAGTAATCTGCCGCACACTGATCCTGGTCATTCCCATCTTGTGCCCAGGGTCAGCGCATACGCCCTCCTGGCCAAGCCTGCGGGGCGATCCTGGGCGGTGGTCCTGGCCTGGATCGGTGCAGGTGTATAGTTTGGCTTCCTCCTGGACGAGGGCGGTGGTATCGGCCGTGCCAACTTTTTCAACGTAGCAGCTGGTTCGATTTTGCGACGCGCGCGCGCCGCAGAGCCCGGGGACAGAACATGAGCCTCGGAGATCGTGGCGCGCCAAGCGGATCCCATGTTCTTGCCACGGGGCATCGGTATTGGTGGTGCCTCTGAGGGGGCAGGGCGAAGGGGGTGGCCTCCGATGTTCTTGGGCTGCTTGACACCGTTCAGGTTCTTAGGCCTCCTGGGGAGCTCCCATGGCCACGGTTGCACATAGCTCGAACATTTGTCCAGGATGGATCCCTGGAGGTGTCTGGGGATAGGTTAGAAGGCGGATCGTCTGCGCGTCTGTGGTTCTGAGCGCAAAAACATAGCGCGCACACGGTGGAGCCTCAGCTTTGCAGCTGCGGCGGCGGCGCAGACAGAAGAAAAGAAGCCCTTAGTCCGCAGACATCTCTCTGGAATGAGCTGGAGGAGGACAAGGAAGAGGAGGAGGACGAGGACGTGGAGGAGGAGGAGGAGGACAAGGCGGGGAGCACACATTATAAATTACGAATTTGCGCCACGCAGCTGGGTCGCTGGTGCAGTTTCTCATGTCATCCTGGGAATCGAGATGCTGTAGAGTGTCCTTGAAACATCTCTTCGCCCATTATTGCCTCGGACTTCCACACTGGCCAGGCGCACGTGTCTGTAATTGGCAGAGGGTTGCCCGGTTGAAAGGTGACACGGCACAACATATTGGCGGCGATAGATTTACCGATGTTGACAAACAATAATATTTGGTAGTCTAAAGTTGAGTTGTGTAGGGCTGTTCGCCTGATTGCAGCAACACGCTTTTGTTAGGAATTCATGGACCATGTGCTAGTGGGATGTGTCAGCATCAACGTAAGCACGTTCTTGAACCATCTGGTCGTTCTGCATTGCCCCCCCACTGAGATTGGTCGCACCCCTGATGGACGCACCGATGACAGTGTTACCTCCCAACCCAATCTGGAAGAGGACCTGCGCATGGTAGGCGAGGGGTCGAGGAATGGACCCCACCGGGAGCTGGCCCCGCCGCCCCAACCCGCCAGGCTGGCCACTGCTGCCGCACACCCAACCCCCCACCGCAGCGCTTCATGCCACCAGGCCGACCAGGCCCCCCCCCCCCCCGGCCTCCTTAGGTGCCTCGCGTGCATGCCACACATGCACACTGTGCAGCATCTCGAGGTTATGGCCTCATTTGTTTAGTTTCACGACCAGGAAGGAAAAAAACACCCGGACCCGATAACCGGCCTTTGCTAAACGGCCTTGGACGTCCCTCCCCACTGGGGACTTTGGGCCTGCATTCCATCCACCAGGGGGCTTTGTCTTAAACATCGCTTGGGGCGTGTTTTTCTTCCGTGTTCATCTTCACTGGTTGCGGTCGACCAACACGGAAGCAAAACGGTAGCACACAGTTTTTTACATAAACAACGATTCGTTTCTACTATGATCGGCGTTTGTGGGGCAGCTGGAAACGTATCGAAAACGCATCGAAAACTAAAAGAATGGAAGGACAACGGCGGCTCAAAATTCCACAAAACAGAGAGAAACGGCAACCAAAACAAAGAAAACATCGATCTTGAACAACCATTTGACCGCGGAGCATCGTTCTGACAGCATTCAAGCGCTCAGCCAGCGCGCCAATCAGCTGGTGACATCCATTCAACAGATACAGGAACAGTCAGCACCGCTGATTGACAGGTTCCATCGTGCACAGGAGGCCTTGGCTCTCACTCAACGGGCTTTCCGCCCCGAGGACCACGGGGACCACCCTCCAGGGTTACCTCCAGGGGGGGGTATCCCACCGCCCCTGTTTAGCTTGCGGCGTTTCCCGCTTTGCGTGGAAGGTCTGCCGGGCACGTGCGGCCCGGGGCTTGTGGACGATGCTGTCGTCCAGATTGTTTCGATCTCTCCGACTCTTTTTGTTTTTAGTTTGCCCAGCGGGCTCCGCAAGACATGTTCTGGTGCCATGGTGTCGCCCTCGGCCTGTTCAGCCTCGGCCAAGGCCGCGGAGGCGAGCTGCATGCCCTCATTGGAGCCGTCATACTGGAGACGTCACAGAGATTTGACAGCTCGACGACGAGGTATTAGATCTGCGCTGGTCGTCCGTCCTTGTCGCGCCCGCACTTCCAGCACGTCATCTTCGTGGCAAAGTTGTTCTTGAATCCACAAGTTTTGCTGGCCTTGCACTGCCAGGGCCACTCGCCTGCGGCTTCGCCCGTGGAGGCCCTGCAGGTTCGCCGCTACCTGCGCCGCTGGGTTGCGCCATGACGACGCTATGGTGATACTCGCCGTGATGCTGGCGAAGGAGTCTCTTGGCCGTGTCGAGGCGGATGACCTGCCTCGCCGACGCTCCCCCCACAGCGAGCCCACTTGTGCGGGGGGGCGAAATCTGGCCCGCTCGCCTAGTATCGCGGCAGATGCACCAGCGCCCGCGCCGTGGGCAGCTGGCGACTGGGCCAGATGGAATCGCCCCCCCCGCCCCCACGGGGGCACGGAGCCTAAATGGGAGCCTCGAGGATGAGGAGGGGCAGGGCGGGAGTCAGGGATTGAAGGAGGAGGAGGAGGAGGAACACGAGGAGGAGAGGAGGAGGAGGAGGAACAGGAAGAGGAGGTGTAGGAGGAGGTGGAGGAGGAGTATGAGGAGGAGGAGGAGAAGCAGGAGGAGCAGCAGCAGCGGCGACATATTGCGGCCATCCTGCCATTCGGCTCGAGCTACTTTTGTTTTGATGGCTTCTGTCTGGCCGCAGCAGCGGCAGATAGTGTCCATCCGGCCCGAGATGTGCTTGGCATGATGGCTTCTGTTCGCAAATGGTGCCGGTCTCGGGAAGATTGCGGGCCATGGTGTTGGCGGGCGCGCTCGCGGGGGTGTCGTTGCTTGCCGCGCGGGCGGCATGGATGGCCGCTGGCCTCCCTCTTTACCAGCCTCCCTCCTCATTCGTGCCTTCCTCCCTCTTCCTCTTCCACCGTCCCCTCTGTCCTTGCCCCTCCTCTTTGGACGTGCTTTCATGATCGCCCCCCCCCGTTGAGGATCTCACATCGTCCATCTCCCCAATGTTGCCTTCTCCTCCCCATCCCCCTGCACCACCTCCGCATTTACACCCGCCTCTCCCTCCTCCTCCTCGTCCTGCATCGATCAACTCGATCAGAGGAGAAAGAGCTTGAGCGTTCCGTTCCCTTCCCCCCTTCCCCTCATCATCCTTTGTTCTCTCCTCCCCTCTCCATCCCCTTCTCCCTACCTGGCCGGCTCTACTTCATAACAGAGCGAGTATCCACCTACTCCTGCCAGTGGTACGCTCCGCCCTCTCTGTGTCCACAGTTCAGTCCACGACTTCGTCGTCAACAGTGTGAATATTATATAGACGTTCCGCGTAACGCCACCATTCCATCCAGAAGCGATGCCCAGGAGAGTTGCCCTGATCAGGGATGTGGAGGGGCATGCAGTGGAACAAAAACGGTTGGGGAAGCTGTCGTACCCCAACGTCTTGGGGGCCTCTTGGCGGTCCTTGGAGGCACTTGGAGCGTCTTAGGTGTTTCGAGGGAACCCCTTGGGGCCTGTTGAGGGTCCCTTGGGAACCTGTTGGGGGCCTCTTGGGGCCTCCGTGGCGCTTCTTCGGACCCTCTTGAGGCACTCTTGGGAGCCTCGGATGCCATCTTGGGGCCATCTTGGAGGAGTTTGATCAGAGAAGGGGTGGTAGTTCATCAGAGCCCCCCCCAGGAGGCCAACATGTCTTCAAAACATTGGCGAAATCAATCCGTAACCATTTTGGCTCAAGACTCAAACCTGTGCCCTGGGGTTTGAAACGTGGTCGCTGCCGACGGGGAGGCTCGAGGTGACTTTCTGCACATATCCGTCCTTTTCCCTACCTCCCAGTACACAGCCGCCCAGATGCGAGAGCATGGAGAGCGCCGTCGCAGCCCGCGAGTGCCGCGATCGCCCGATGGCCGCAGTTTTTCCTTCTGCTCATCCCGATCGAAGAGTCGTTCTGAGCGTGAGAGGTGCCGTCCTAGTCAGACAAGCCAGGATTCCAACTTTGATATGATTATGTCTTCGCTGCAGGGTCTTTCTCGTCAGGTATCGGTTTCAGTGAACGATCTCGCCAAGATTAAGAACCAGATGGGCTTGACGCAGCTCCGATGCGACCAGCTCACATCCTCGATTCACACGATGGGCAACGACATTCACTCGCGCATGGTGCACATTGAGGGAGAGCACGCGGCCGCGTTCACGGCCCTGAAGGAACGGATGGACGGCTTCGAGGCTGCAGCTTGCGAGCGCCTGAGCACGCCGACGCCGACCTCGATTGACATGACGGACGCGACGTCGTCGATCCCTTCATCAGTTCAGGAGAAGACTAAATACATTGAGGAGAAGCTAGACAAGCTTTCTCGGCCGCCCTGGGATGTTCGCTCGAGCATCAGCGAGCGCACCGCGGCCACGGAGAAGAGCCAGGACAACGCCACGAAGCTGCTCATCCTTGGATTTCCACGGCGGGTGCTTGCCACTACCTTACGTGCAGTTGGCGAAGCTGTTCGCCAGAGGTTCGCACCTACGGAGCGCCATTCATCGATTACGATTCAGTATCCTGATCCACTTTCAAGCTCGCC